GGTTCTCTATAGGTTCATGTAGTTCAGACAGTAAGAAGCAGAAATCAAGGTTTGAATCCAGAACCTTCCTGTACTGCATAGCCACATTATCTCACCAGACCCTTGTGGTCTCGATTTTGTTTACAATAAAAATTTCACAGCTAAACATCCACTTGAGATAATGCCCCTTATACTGATTTAATAGCTAATGATTCTGTACAGTCCGTTCGTATATTGTCTCTAATTGCTGCTGTTTCTTTGTTTCAGGTATACAATGACAAAATCAACTGCTATTTTATTTATTTTATTTTTTTCGGTTGTATTCAAACTAGAGAAATTGGTAAGCATTGCCACTTCGGCTACTTGTTTAAGCTGTAAATATGATAAGAAGGTACCATTAACAGACTACTCCTTAGCCGAGGAATTGAGGACATTGTGTTGTGTTATGTAGAATGAATAGCTTGGATAATGTACACCAGGAACATTTAGGTTTTCAAAGAGTATAGGAAGAGATGCCCAAGGGAGGTTAATGCGAATGTATAGTCAGACATGGTCTTGATTTCAACATAATGATAAATTAAGGAAGGAGAAAGTGCATATTATTGATGGGGACAACGGTGAAATACAGTGCAAGAGGGAGAGTTTCAGAGTTAAGGACATTGGTGATGTGATTTGGACTCTTTGGAAGGGTAGTTAATGTGTAATGGTATGATAATTGATCTGTATTTGAAGGGGAGAGATGAGATGCTATTTAGGCGTTGTGGATGTGAAGCAGTGTACATATGGTCTTCGTTTTGTTTCTTCCCTTTTCCTCCTAGAGGTTCTGCAGTATGATCCCATGAACACTGATGCGCCCTACTACCTTATCAGGTGACTGTTTTCAGGAGTGAGCCTAAATGCTGTTGTGTCTAGAATGCCCCTCAACCATGGGGGCATAGTCTGGCTGATCCTTTCCTGACCTGGTGACCAGAACCCAGCAAGAGTTACTAGATAATAATCAGAAGTGAGACACTTGAGAAGGCCTGTTGCCACTTTATTGAGAGTGATGGACATTAAGTTTAGGCCTTGCTAACTTTACATTTACCCTGAGAAATAAAAAGAACTGCATGTGGTAAGGTGATTTTCACAGTAATGCACAATGGCCACAGATATTGCAGGTTATATAAATGTAAAGCTGTGCAAATTGAATTGCTGTAAACCAAAATAACTGTGGATGTTGGAATTCTGAGCAAAAACTGGAAATGCTATAAATACTCAGATCTGGCTGTATCTCTGTAGAGAGAAACAGTGAATGTGTCATGACCTTGCATCTGAACTGGAAAAGTTTGAACAGGTTTTAAGCAAGTACTAATGGTGAAAGTGGGGATGAAAGAAGAAAAGCAAAAGGGAAGGTCTGCAGGATGACAGACGAGAGAATCAGTGATGTATTGAATAAAAGATGCAGGCAAAAAGGCAAGTTTTTAAAACAAAGTGCTTAGATGAGGTATTAATGGGGAAGTGCAGAATCATTACCAACAGCTACCATCTAAAAAACAAAGTAAATGGGATTACAGTCTGAAGTTGTTGATCTCAAATGTTGAGTCCAGAAGGCTGTAAAGTGCCTAATCAAAAGATGAGGTGGTGTTTTTTCTTGAGCTTAGAATGAGCTTCATTGGAACAGTGGAAGAGGCCAAGGTCAGAGTAGGAATGTATTGGAGAATTAAAATGACAGCTGGAAATGATCTGACTGGACTGAGTGAGATTGGCTACATTATACCTATTTCTGTGTTGTGCAGTCTTAGATGAACAGCAACGCAATGAAAAATTGATTACAGTTTTAAACTATAGAAACCATTAAGGGGAAACACTTGGGGCTTAACAGTAGTATTCCTTGACCTTCGTGCTTTGTATTTAAGGATATTTTGTATATTTTTAAATTGCAAATAATGCGTTTTGGTGTACATTTACACCAACCACTAAAAGCTATGTTGCAGGCTGGCGAGGCCGTTTTTAAAAAAAGAAAGAAGCAAGCAAAGCACTAGATTTATTTCTAAATCGATAGAATTGAAAAGTAGAGAAGTTATGTTAAACTTGTATTGAATCTCATTAAAATGGTGACAAAGCTGTCCACAGTATGAAAAGGATATAGAGGCACTAAAGATGATGCAGAGAAGATGTAAAAAGATGGTATCAAAAGGACTGAGAAGCTGGGCCTCTTTTCTCTTGAAGAAAGGATGAGGAATGACCAAATTGAGGTCTTTATAAAAACCTTTCATAACTTTAAAGTGAATGTTTCCCCTTGTGGGAAAGGGCTGTCAATATGAGATAATGACCACAAATTCCAGTAAGGAATTTAGTAGAACATCTTTGCCAAAGAAGGGTAAGAATGTGGAATTTGGTACCACTGGGAGTGGTTGAAGGAAATAGTATGAATGCTTTTAAGGTGGGAATACCTTATTTCCAGCTGTCATTTTCCGCCAGGCGGAAAACACACCGATGCTTCATCGGAGGCTGCACTGAGGATGTTACCAAGCATGGTAGTGAAACGTCTGTGAAACAAGAAACCAGCTCAGCGAGCCAACCAACTTCAACAACCTCAACATCCATAGACATTCCTCTGTCCACTACCTTAGTTACTTCTTCAAAAAAATCTGTGACACACCTGTTATGAATCATGCTGGCTCTCCCTAATTAACTGAAGATTTTCGAGGTGTTCAGTTACCCCATCCTTGATTATACACTCCAACAATTACCCACCACAGATGTTAGGCTAACTGGTCTGTAATTCCCTGGTTTTCCTCTTTTGCCCTTCTTTAAAAGCAGAGTGAGACGTGCAATTTGCAATCGAGAGGGACATTTCCTGTATCTAGGGAACTCTGTAAGATTGTGGTTGGGATGTCTACGATGTGCTCCCCTAATTCCTTTAACACCCTCGAATGGAAACTGTCATTCCTCATTACTGACATTTTACTTACAATAGTTTTATTCAGTTCCTGTTCACAGTAAACCAATAATTTCCTCGGGACTTTTGGTAAGCTAGCCTCCCTTCCTACTGAGGCAGAGTAATTATTGAGCATGTCTGCCATTTCCCCGTAGTCATTGACAATATTCCCACTTTCAGTCTTTAGTGCACCAACATTGTTTCTGACCCTTTATGTGACCAAAATTTCTTCTAATTGATTTTGAAGTCCCTGGTAAGTTTACTTTCATAATCCTGTTTAGTAGCTCTTATAAGCTGCTTTGTAGTCCTTTGCAGGACTTCGTATCATTCCCATTATCCAGGATCTTTGTTTTTTTTTTGCATTTTTGTAACCCTTTCTTTTAGTTTTATTCTGTCCCTTACCTAGGCAGAGAATGCTAAACCCGGGAGAAGGATATGGAGGATAGTGAGATTTGCGTGCAGCATGCTAATTATGCTAGGGCATTTTGAGATCAAGAAAGTAGCAGCATCAGGTCTCTTAATGAGCATTGTCCCCCAGGGCCTAATGGTATCTATCCCAGGTTTTTGAGAAGTGCAAGATCGGAGATTGCTGGGGGCTTGACCAAGATCTTTGTATCCTCACTAGCCACTGGAGAGGTCCTGGAGAACTGGCGAGTAGCAAGTGTTGTTTCTCTGTTCAAGAAGGGAAATTGAGATAATCTAGGAAACTGTGGACTGTTGAGTCTCGCATCAGTGGTTGGAAGGCTTTTGGAGAGAAGTTTTAGGGATAGGATTTACGCACATTTGGAAAGCTATAGCCTAATTAGGGATAGTCAGTACGATTTTGTACAGGACATGTCATGTCTTACTAATTTGATTGAATTTATCGAGAAGATGATCAATGAGGGTAGAGCAGTGGATGTTGTCGAAAGCCTTAGTAAAATCCATGTAGACAAGGCCCCTCATGTTAGGCTCATTCAGAAGATTAAGATGCATGGGATCCACGGTGACTTGGCTGTGTGGATTCGGAATTGGCTTGCCCATAGAAGGCAAAGGGTAGTGGGTGAAAGGGTGTGTTTCAGGCTAGAGGTCCATGACTGTTGGTGCTCCACAGGGAGCCGAACTGAGACCTCTGCTGTTTGTGATGCATATAAATGACTTGGATGAAAATGTAGATGGATGGGTTAGTAAGTTTGCAGATGACACAAAGATAGGTGGAGTTGTACATCATGTAAAAGGTTGTCAAAGGATACCATGAGATACAGATCAGTTGCAGATTTGGTAAGAGAAATGGCAGATGGACTATAATTTGGGTAAGTGTGAGGTGCTGCACTTGGGAGATCAAATGTTAAGGAAAAGTATACAGTTAATGGCAGGACCCTGATCAACATTGATATACAGAAGGATCTTGGGGTTCAAATCTATAACTCCCTGAAAGTGGCCACACAAGTAGATAGGGTGGTAAAAAAGGTGTATGGCATCCTTGCCTTTATTGGTTAGAGAATTGAGTAGAAGAGTCAGAAAGTCATCTTACAGTTTATAAGACTTCAGTTAGACCACTCTAGAGTATTGATTGACCACACTAAATTAGATAGGGTGGACAGTGGGAGCCTTTTTCCTCGGATGGTGATGGCTAGCATGAGGGGACATAGCTTTAAATTGAGGGGTGATAGATATAGGACAGATGTCAGAGGTAGGTTCTTTACTCGGAGAGTAGTGAGGGCGTGGAATGCCCTGCCTGCAAAAGTAGTAGACTCGCCCACTCTAAGGGCATTTAAATGGTCATTGGATAAACATATGGATGATAATGGAATAGTTTAGGTTAGATGGGCTTCAGATTGGTTTCACAGGTCGGCGCAACATCGAGGGCCGAAGGGCCTGTACTGCGCTGTAATGTTCTATGTTCTATGTTCTATGTTCTCTAGTTGTCCATGACTGTTCCTACTGTAAAGTGGAACTTTTCTCCCTTGTGTATAATTTGGTTTTGTATTGTGTCAAATGTTCCTTTAAACATCTTCCACTGTCCTTCAGTTGTTTTACCCATTAGCAGATTTTCCCTGTTGTGGAGAATCTATGTCTAATCTTGCTAAAGTCGGCCTTCCCTAAACCTAAATCTCAAGTAACTGATTCATGCTTTTTGTTTTCCAACCCTGTGTTGAGTTGAATCATGTTATGATCGCTCTATGATGAAAGTACATGCACAATTAAATTACAGATTAAGTCCACCTCATTATTAAATCCAGTATTCCTTATCCCCTTTGTTGAATCCAGGGCATGTTTTGTAAGTAAATCTGGGAAACGTGAATTTTTTTGAAAAAGGGAGCCCGAAAGGTTGTTTTTTTTTCATTTCCCTAATAACTTAATTTAAAACTCTTAGATGCAGACAACGGACTAATAAGTTTGACCATAGAATTGACATCTTCCCACTAAAGACCTGTTACAATGGCTGAGCGCTACAAGGACTGGCATATGAAGTGGCCACTAAGAGTAATAAAATTTGGTTTAATAAGGATTATTTCAGTTAATTCAGTGTGTGTTTGGAACCTTGTTTGTTTAATGAGTGGAGATGTATTTGATGATTTGGAATTATTTTATAGTAATCTGTTGTTTTATGTTGTTTTTGTTTCCAGAGGCCATGGTTGAGCATGGTAATCTTGTTAATAGCTGGTGGCCTCTTCATGTTTACGTACAAGTCAACCCAATTTAACATGAAAGGGTTTATACTAGTATTAGTTGCATCTTTCCTTGGAGGGATACGATGGACACTGACACAGATCCTTACCCAGAAGGCAGACCTAGGTAACGTCAAAGTATCAGTAATACAGTTTGTTAGAGTGGGACAGTGCCATTAACTGGAGACTTGTGTGATTGTATTTTGTGTATGACATCTCAATATGTTTAATACTGTGTGCACATGCTTTTTATCGCCTTTCCTATTTGTATTCAATGCCTTTCTCCTCTTGGAGGCCAACCATTTTCTATATTCAACTTGGGAACTAATTTGCATGAAATGCTCAGGGAGGGCTAAGCCTCTGAGAGGTACTCTAAAAGTGAACTAAAAAGAAAGGAACACTTGCATATAAATAGTGCCTTTCATGGCCACCAAACATCTCAAAGCGATTTTCCTGTGCTGCTAGGAGGAAGATTAGAAGCAATGCTGGTGGCGAGCCACCTTCTTGAGTTGCCGCAGTTGTTGGGTTGTAGGGAACCTATAGTGCTGTTTAGGAGGTAGTTCCAGGATTTTAACCCTGCAACAGTGAAAGAATGGCGATATAGTTCCAGGTCAGGATGGCAAGTGACTTGGAGGTGTACTTGCAACTGGTGATGCTTCCAAATGTCTGCTGCCCTTGTCCTTCAAGATGGTAGAGATCATGGTTTTGGAAGGTACTGTCAAAGGTGCCTTGGTGAGTTACTGCAGGGCGCCTTGTAAATGGCATAGCAGCTAGATTTTTCTGTTATATTAATTGAAGGATAAATATAAACTTTGGAGGTTAACGACCCTGTTCCTTTTCCAGATGTGGCCTTAATTAACATCTCCTCTGAGAATTGGCATTCCCAGTAATGCAGCACACCTTTGTTATTGCATTGGATTGGAACATAGGGAGCAATCATTTGCTGTACTCCCTGTATGTGAGCTCCTAACCTATCTACCCTATTTACTATATATTTTTCTGTCAAATTTTGCTGCACCTTGATTACCCAGAAATACATCCCTTTACTCCATCTACATCCAGCTCTGATCTCCATATCTGAGAGTGTGGAGGAATGACAGGCACATTACTGTACCTGTCTCATCTACTGGTACAAGTAGGTCAGGCTTTAGCTGAATGCGAGCTTGATGCTAGACTCTGCTTGGTGCTAACAAACCAGCTAATTCTTTTTTTAATCTGCTGGAACAATGTAAACAATTGTGCTTACTTATTTGGCACATCATTGGTCAAATAAATTATAGTGCACAATTTCTGAATTTGTGACTAAACTCAATTGGTCCCCATATGAATGTAACCGGCAGATATGTGGATGGAGGGTTGGGTATGTGGGATAATACATGGATAGAAATTTAACCATTACAGGTTGAAATTACGTGCCATCAAAATGTACTAAAGGCTGGATTTATGTCTTGAAGCTAGAAGAAAAAGTTGAGAAATCTTCTGAGGCGGCAGATTTGTCTTTGTGGAAACAACACTTGCACACACATTTTGACACTTGTGATACTGGGGAGGGGAAGGTGCAGGTCTTCATTGACTTATGGCAATAGGTGGGCTGATTATGAGGCTCGCCCCAGTTCTGTGGTACTTCAGTCCAGTTGTACAAAAGGCAGTGAGCCCACATACACTTGATTAGCCCCACCATCTCCATCATTGCCCATGTTCCTTCGTAGCCACAATGCACTTCCATAGCAATCACCCAATGCCCTTCCTATATGGGGCATATCTACTGTGGGCAGAACGCAGGAGCCATGTGGAAATGAAAAATTTGACAATGTATGAAATCTCTCACTCATATACATTAATGTAAAAATAAACTCCTTCATGAAAGGCAATCTAAATTTCATCAAGTGGTCAGTAAAAACAAACCAACTTCTATTTGCTAATTATATTGAATCCTTGAATAGATTTTTAAAACTGTTAATCAAGAATGCTGAAAGAGGTGATTTTGGAGATTTTGAAACTCAGTCAAGCATTCATAATAATCTCAGTTTTATTAAGAGCCCTTGGGGAATGTCAACCATGATGTCAATTGAAATATAGGAAGAGATTTTTATTTTCCAAAACTATACTAGATGATCTATCAGTCAAGATTTACTAGACTAATACCTGGAATGAATTGATTCCCTTACAAAGAAAGGTTAAACAGGCTAAGCCTGTATCCTCTAGAGTTGGGAAAAGTCAGATGATTTAATCGAAGCATAGAAGATCCTAAGGGGACTTGACCGAGTGGATGTGGAAAGGATGCTTCCTCTTGTTGGAGAGTCTAGTACTTGGGGTCATTGCTTAAAAATAAGGGATCACCCAGTTGAGGCAGAAATAATTTTCTGAGGGTTGAAAGTCTTGGAATTGTCTTCCTCAAAAGGCAGTGGATGCAAAAACTTTAAATATTTTTAAGGCTGAGGTAGATAGTTTCTTGATTCTCAAATGGATGAAATATTGTCAGGAGTATGCAGGAATGTAGAGTTGAGGTTAAAATTAGGTCAGTATGCTCTTACTGAATGGCAGAGCAGGCCTAAAGGGCTGAGTGGCTTACGTATGTTCCTTTCCATATGTTTTTTGTTGAATAAAATTTGTGCCTCCTCTGTTATTTGTGCCTCCTCCATTATTTGTGACTTCCATACTGCAGTTTAAGACCCTTAGAATCTGTAAAAATCTGTTTGTTTGATCTCAGCAGTAATTTCAAGTGACCCTGCCGATTTCTGGTTACCCACTGCTGGTAAAAATGGGGTGGGGGATAAAACTCCTGCATGTACGTCCAATATACTATGTTTTAAAGGCCTCCAGAATCCACAGAACTCCATGTACATGTGGCCCAGAAGTACATAGATCTTGTCAAAAGTGACACTCGGTGATTATTGCCCAAGTGTTCTGTCCCAGGTTTTGGAACGGTGTCCTGTTCTGATTACATCTAACCCCAGAATCTTGATATTTATTCCTGGTCTGAGCTTGTGTTGTGGTTCCAGAAGCTGCCGAATATATCCTTTCCTGTGCTATACAATCCGGAATTACCAGGGTATACTTTAAGTATTCTTGATACAGAGGGATGTGCGAACTCTTGTTTGGTTTTTGTGTCTTTTAATTTAAAAGTGTTTCAAATCTCATGTTGGCACTACATGTCCTGAATATTTTGTAATTTCAATTGTTGCCAGTGAGGGATGTCCTTTATTGTCCTTCCTATTTTTGTGTATTTTGGAGACAATCAAACCAATTGATGAACAAATTTATTTTTAATTTGAAATCCAGTTTCTCTATTTAATTTTCTAAGGAATGTCAGGAATTGATAAAATGGCTAAATTTGAATCTGTCTTGCTCAGGTTTACAGAATCCCATTGACACCATGTATCATCTCCAGCCGCTGATGTTCATAGGCCTTTTCCCATTGTTTCTAATCAATGAAGGTATGTTTGGTCGTTTTGTTAAGGTGATGGCCAGTGCCAGATCATGGCACTTTCCTGCCTGCCTTCCATGACCCCTTGACTGTCTTTTGAACTCATTCTAAAAGGACAAAGAGGCACAGGAGAGGCTATACCTCCTAAGAAACTTTGGGCAGCTAGGGCTGTTCAGTGGTCGGAAGAGTTTGATAGGATAGACATTTACACAGGAGAATAAAACTGGAAGACACAAGTATAAGATTGTTATCCGGAAATCCAATAGAGAATTCAGGAGAAATGACTTAATCCAGACAGTGATCAGAATATGAAACTGGCCAAAGCAAATAGTATTCTGGGTTATTAGAATTGATGCGTTGAAGGGAAGCTAGATAAGTAAATGAGGGAGAAAGGATCGGAATGGTATGCAGATAAGGTTGAGTGAATATGGGTGGGAGGAGGCTCAATGAAGCAAAACTAATAGTTGAGCTCACTGAAAAGAAACCAAGAACTGCAGATGCTGGAAATCTGAATCAAAAGCAGAAATTGCTGGAGAAACTGGCAGCATCAGTGGGGGAATAGCAGAGTCCATTTTGGATCCAGTGATGCTTCTTCAGAACACAACATTTTCTTTATTCGTTAATGGGATGAGGGCATCACTGGCCAGGCAGCATTTATTGCCCATCCCTAATTGCCCAGAGGGCAGTTAAGAGAACTACATTGCTGTGGGTCTGGAGTCACGTGGAGGCCAGACCAGGTAACGATGGCGGTTTCCTTCCCTAAAGGACACTAGTGAACCAGATGGGTTTTTCCCAACAATCGGCAATGGATTCATTAGATTCTTAATTCCAGAATTTATTGAATTCAAATTCCACCATCTGCCGTGGCTGGATTCAAACCCAGGTCCCCAGAATGTTATCTGGGTCTCTGGATTAAGAATTCAGCGATAATACCACTAGGCCAACATGGCTCACTGGATGCAAAACGTTGACTCTGTTGTTTTCTCCACAGATGCTGTCCAAACTGCTGAGTTTCTCCAGCAATTTCTGTTTCTGTTTGAGTTAACTTAATTTTTTTTCCTGTTCTGTACATAGCCTTCTGGTTTTGCTACAGAAGGCAATGGTTAGATTACTTCACTATTACCTAGCCAGTCTTCTGTGGTCTGCTAATGATATATTTTCCCTTTCTCGAGGACTAAGCCTGTCTGCCTCGGAGAAACTGTTTCGTTACCACGAGACATCAACTTTGCTGCATATGATGTTTGTGTTGGCTGCAGGGGGCTTTCTGGCATTTGGATTGTGTTTCTCTGAATTTTTATTGGTTTCGAAAACCTCCAGCTTGACCCTATCTGTAGCAGGCATTTTTAAGGTGAGCCATTTTGGTGCTGTACCTTTCCACATAACATTGTTTCACTCATGGTCACAAACTGTGCAGGTGATGAAAGCAAAAGGAATTACAGGTGCTGGAAACTGAAGTAAAATCACACCTTCCTAACAATGCCTACTGGGATTATCGGTATTTGTATTGGCTCACTGTTATAGGAATGGCTTGAAATTCTCAGAACGTGGTTTATCAGTGTGACATAGACTGTAAACCTAATTTTTACTGTAATCGTGCTTTTGATATGCATTTGAAACAGAACGTTAGGTTGGGACCTGTTATTTGTAAACCTCAGTTTTTAAAATGTTTTAAATCTATTTTTAAAAACTTTGACCACATTCCAAATACAGTGGAATTGGACATTCTAATCCCTCCCACAACTGGGCTTAATGCCAGCTAAAGATGTGTTGCAGAACAGACTAAATCAGAATAATTGAGTTCAATAGACTTTTTTGCTTTTGTACACAAAAACAAAATACATGCTACCAAACTTGCTGAATTTATCCAGTACTTTGCTTTTATTCTTTGTTTTTGTATTCTGTTCTGCTGAAGAAAAAGCCCACCACTTTGCACTTTTTTTTACCTTACTAATGTTTAGATGTTTCATTGTTATTTTGTTCATTCTGTTGAGTATCCTATTTATCAATGAAAATTGTTCTGCATTTGAAGAAAATCCAATTCAAGAAAGATAATCCATTTAATGTTGTATTTTATGGTGACAAAGAAAACTCATGTATTTTGGACAGTGCTCTTTACCTGCACTGATTTGGGCAGCATGGTGGCTCAGTGGTTACCATAGCTGCCTCACAGCACCAGGGACCCAGGTCTGATACCAGCCTTGGGTGACTGTCTGTCTGTGTGGACTTTGCATGTTCTCCCTGTGTCTGCGTAGGTTTCCTCTGGGTGCTCCGGTTCCTTCCACAGTCCAGAGATGTGCAGGTTAAGTGGATTGGCCATCCTAAATTGTCCATAGTGTCCAGGCTAGGTGGGTTAGCTATGGGAAATGCAGGGTTACAGGGATAGTGTCTGGGTGGGATGCTCTTCGGAAGGTCAGTGTGGACTGGATGGGCTGAATGGCCTGCTTCCACACTGCAGGGATTCTGCGATTTTATGATGATTCACTGGAAAGGGAACGAGCTTGCTGAAATGGATTCCATTGGAGCTTTGTGCTTCTCTTGCAGGAAGTGTGCACTCTAGTCCTTGCCAGCCATGTGATGGGTGATCAGCTGAGCATGTTAAACTGGTTGGGATTTGCAATGTGTCTCTCTGGAATCTCACTCCATGTTGCACTTAAGGTCGTTTATTCAGAAGGTAAAGCTACTTTTCTTTTTGAACAACAAACAAATCTTGCTGTAGTAGAGTGAATGTAAATTGCAGTCAAGGCTGAGTGGTAATGTTCCATTTTTCTTGGTAATGAAATTGGAATCAATATGGTAGCCTGGTCAAAGAGTTGTACAGCATGGAAACAACCCTTCGGTCCAAGTCGTCTGTGCCGACCAGACATCCTAAATTAATCTAGTCCTGTTTGCCAGCATTTGGCCCATATCCCACTAAAACCTTCCTATTCGTGTACCCATCCAAATGCCTTTTATGTGGTATAATTATACCGGCCTCCGTCACTTCCTCTGGCAGCTCATTTCATACATGCATCACCTTCTGTGTGAAAAATTTGCTGCTCAAGTCCCTTGTGATTTATAATACAAGTTTAATAATCTCGATGTTGAGTTAAAGTTGATTACTGCATTCAATTTGCTAATTTCTAGGTGAGTACCAGAAATATTGATGGTTGAAGCTGCCTGATCATTGTAAAATTGCAGTTGATTTACAAATGGCTTTTTAGGGAAAGAATCAGCCATGCCAAACAGGTCTAAATACTTGTGACTCAAATCTCACAGATTTTATTAATTTAAAGGAATAAGTGATTGACTCGATGCCTTCAGCTCATCCAGGAATGACCAAAAAAATACTGTCTTACCAGTTCTGCCTATGCAAAGAATAGAGCTGTGTATGGATATAAATGCGATAAAAGTAATTTAGAAAAGGTTTATTCGACTGATAACCTGGAATGAGATTATCTATTGAGGAGCCATCAAACAGACTATGCCTGTATCAGAGTTTAGTGAAAAGACTATCTTTTTATTACTCTGTATTTTTGATTGTAAATTGAACTGGGAAAAGGACTATTTTAAAAACAGAGGATTGTTGAAGGATTGCAACACTTTGTACAAAGTAAGTAAACTAACACTCAGTAAAAGTGCTGTTTACATAGCTACTTGTTCGAGCACGATTTGAAGCCTGGTTACAGATGATCTGGAGCCAGCAGCTGCGTATGAATGAAGATTTGGTTGACAATGAGTAGCTGGTTGGTCTATGGACTAGTGACTAGTGTTTTTTTTCTGTTCATTTGTGGGATGTGGGCGTTGCTGGCTGGCCACATTTCTTGCCCATCCGTAGTTGTCCTTGCGAAGGTGATGGTGAGCTGCCTTCTTGAATCGCAGCAGTCCTCCTGCTGTAGGTTGACCCACAATGCTATCAGGGAGGGAATTCCAGGATTTTGACTCAGCGACAGAAGGAACAGCGATATATTTCCAAGTTAGGATGGTGAGTGGCTTGGAGGGGAACTTGGAGGTGGCGGTGTTCCCATATGTCTTCTGCCCCTGTCCTTCTAGATGGAAGTGGTCATGAGTTTGGAAGGTATTGTCTGAGGATCTTTGGTGAATTTCTTCAGTGCATCTTGTAGATTGTACACACTGCTACTACTGCGCGTCGGTGGTGGAGGGAGTGAATGCTTGTGGATGTAGTGCCAATCAAGCGGGCTGCTTTTCATGGATGGTGTCAAGCTTCTTGAGTGTTGCTGGGGCTGCACTCATCTAGGCAAGTATGGAGTATTCCATCACACTCCTGATATGTGCCTTGTAGATGGAGGACAGACTTTGAGGAGTCAGGAGGTTACTGGGCGCAGTATTCCTAGCTTCTGGCGTGCTCTTGTAGCCGCTGTGTTTATATGGTGAGTCCAGTTGAATCTCTGGTCAATGGTAACCCCAGGATGTTGATAGCAGGGGTTTCAGTGATGGTAGTCAGTGTCTCTTATTGATGATGGTCGTAGCCTGGCATTTGTGTGGTGTGAATATCACTTGCCACTTGTCAGCCCAAGCCTGGATATTGTCCATATATTGTTAGATTGAACATGGACTGCTTCAGTGTCTGAGGAGTCACGAATGGTGCTGAACATGGTTGGGCCTGGGACACTACCCTGAGGAGCTCCTACAGAGATGTCCTGGATCTGAGATGATTGACCCCCAACAGCCATGACAGTCTTCCTATGTGTCAGATATGACTCCAACTACCAGAGAGTTTGCCCTCTGATACCCATTGATTCCAGTTTTGCTAGGGCTCCTTGATGCCAAACTCAGTCGAATGCAGACTTGATATCAAGGACTGTCACTCTCACCTCACCAATGGAATTCAGCTGTTTTGTCCATGTTTGAACCAAGGCTGTAACGAGGTCAGGAGCTGAGTAGCCCTGGTGAAACGCAGCCTGGGCATCACTGAGCAGGTTATTGCTGAGCATGTACTGTTTGATAGCGCTGTTGATGACACCTTCTATCACTTTTCTGATGATTGAGAGTAGACTGATGGGGCGCTAATTGGCCGAGTTTGATTTGTCCCACTTTTTGTGTACAGGACATACTTGGGCAATTTTCTACATTGTCAGGTAGATACCAGTGTTGTAACTGTACTAGAACAGCTTGGCTAGGGGAGCAGCAAGGTCTGGAACACCAGTGTTCATTACTATTGCCGGAAAGTTGTCAGGGCCCGTAGCCTTTGCAGTATTGAGTGTTTCCCACCTTTTCTTGATGTCATGTGGAGTGAATTGAATTGGCTGAAGACTGGTATCTGTAATGCTGAGGACCACTGGAGGAGGCCAAGATGGATCGTCCACTTGGCACTTCTGGCTGAAGATTGCCGCGCATGCTTCAGCTTTATTTTTTTGCACTGATGTTCTGGGCTCTTCCATCATTGAGGATGGGGATATTTGTGGAGCCTCCTTCTCGAGTGAATTGTTTAATTGTCCACCACCATTCACGATTGGATGTGGTAGGACTGCAGAACTTAGATCTGATCCATTGGTTGTGGGATCGCTTAGCTCTGTCTATCACTTGCTGCTTTCACTGTTTGGCGTGCAAGTCGTCCTGTTTGAGGTATCAACCTGGTGAAGCCACCATCTTCAGGTATGCCTGGTGCTGCTCCTGCACTCTCCATTGAACTAGAGTTGATCCCCTGGCTTGATGGTAATGGTTGAGCGGGGGATATGCTGGGCCATGAGATTACAGATTGTGCTGAAGTACAGTTCTGCTGTTGATGGCCCACAGTGCCTCATGGATGCCCAGTCTTGAGTTGCTAGATCTGTGCAAGGTCTGTCCCATTTATCACGGTGATAGTGCCACACAACATGATGGAGGTTGTTCTCAATGTGAAGGCGGGACTTCATCTCCACAAGGACTGTGCGATGGTCACTCTTACTGATACTGTCATGGACAGGTGGAACTGCAGCTGGCAGATTGGTAAGGATGAGGTCAAGTATGTTTTTCCTTCTTGTTTGTTCCCTCACCACTTGCCGCAGACCCTGCCTAGCAGCTATGTCCTTTAGGACCCGACCAGCTCGATCGGTAGTACTGCTGCCGAGCCCTCTTGGTGATGGACAATGAAATCCCCCACCCGGAGTACATTTTGTGCCCTTGCTTATATAATTAATGTTAGGACCTTGGGTAGTGTTGTAGAACAGAGGGACCTAAGGTTGGAGGTACATAATTCTTTGAAGTTTGCATCATATACAGACAGCGTGGTTATAAAGGTAACAAGATGTGGAGCTGGATGAACATAGCAGGCCAGGCAGCATCAGAGGAGCAGGACAGCTGACGTTTCGGGTCTGGATCCTTCTTCAGAAATGGGAGAGTGGAAGGGGGCTCTGAAATAAATAGAGAGAGGGGGAGGTGATGATAGAAGGTGGATGGAGGAGCAGATAGGTGGAGAGAAGACGGACAGGTCAAGGAGTTGGGGATGAAGCCAGTACAGGTGAGTGTAGGTAGGGAGTTGGAATGGAGGTTGGTCAGTGAGGAGGGAGGGGCGGGTAGGTGTTTGGCAGGCTTGCCTTCATTGCTCAGTCTTTTGAGTATAGGAGTTGAAAAGTCATGTTGAGGTTGTACTGGACATTGGTGAGGCCTCTTCTGAAATACTGTGTCCAGTTCTGGTCGCCCATTTATAGGAAGGGTATTATCGAGCTGGAGCGTGTTCAGGAGAGATTTACCAGGATGTTGCTGGGGTATGGAAAGTTTGAGTTATACAGAAAGGCCGGATAGGCAGGGACATTTTTTTTCCACTGGAGCATAGGAGGTTGAGAGGCGACTTGATAAAAGTTTATAAAATAATGGGAGGTATAGTTAGTTAATGGTAGTTGTCTTTTCCCTAGGATGGGAGATTTCAAGAGAAGGGGACACATTTTTATAGTGAGAGGAGAGAGTTTTAAAAAAGACATGAGGCAGAGAGAGGTTCACGTGTGGAATGAACTTCCTGAGGAAGTGGTGGATGTGAGTACAATTACAACATTTAAAAGACATTTGGTTAAGTACATGAAAAGGAAAGGTTTGGAGGGGTATGGGCCAGGAGCAGGCAGGTGGGACTAGCTTAGTTTGGAATTATGTTCAGTATGGACTGGTTGGACTGAAGGTTCTGTTTTTCCATGCTGTGTGTATGACTCTATGATAACTCAAAGACCTTTATAAGTGTGAACCAGTCACCCTGTGCTTCCTTTTAAACAAGTGAAAGTATCTGGAGGGATATTGAAAAGCAGTTGTTCTGATCAGCACAAGGACCATCTTAGCAAATTCTGTGGAGAAGGGACCATTGAACTGCCTTCTTAAGGTGGAGGGAAAGACTAACACCCATGTTTTTCTTTTAATCTGTGTGTGTCCGTGTCCGTGTCCATCCAGAGGGGGGAGTTTATAAGTGGGTTAGAGTTTTAACTAGTAGTTATGTCACCTGTTCATAATTGTTTATTTGTAGTTAGATTCTATTTATTTGTAATAAACAGTAATTTTGGTAAGTACAGAAACGTGGTCTGTGCTTTCTATCAAATTGGGTCTAAAAATCAGCAAAATTGGGGAATTCTGCATACTTTTTAAAAAATCCTTAACTGTTATGACAAATAACGGGGCTTGATTTTTCAGTGTGAGGCATAACAGTAGAAGAATGAGAGGTGACCTTATTGATGATATTGTTTTCTGACGTATGAGAGTCTTTGGAACTTTCTACTTCATAGGGCAGTGGAGACAAAGTTTTATTGAAATCTTCTCCAGGTAGGGGTAGACAAATCTTAACCTTTTGATTCACTTTTTCAAGGCTAGGCAGGAGCGTAGGTTTGAGGCCACAATCAAATCAGCTATAAAATATTAAAGGATTTGATTTGAGTAGTTACAGATGAGCATTTTTCCCCTGGTGGAGGAATCACAAACAGGAGGAGATCATTTTAGAGCTAGCCTATTGAGGAGTGAAACTGGGTAACAAAAAACTTGTGGAAATTAGAGGTGATTGGACTTTTCAAGTCTGATTTTTAAGAGGACACCAACTGGCGTGGAGCAAAGCCAGATAAATGCAGTTGAGTTGCAGAATGGCTGTGATCTGATTGAGTAAAGGTTTGAAAGACCTCTCTCCGTATATTCTTATTTTCCTCAAACTTTTCTTCAATGCCTGGCTTTATCATGAGCCTCAAGGTCCACTGGTTTAATAGATTTTGCTTGAATTCAGCCTAACTAGATTTACTTGTTTAAGTTAATAGATGTCAAGTTTATTTTTACAAGTGCAGTTTTATGCTAGTGCCATTAAACTTTCTCCCTCGCAAAACTTGAGCTGTTTTCACTTACAGAATCAGGAATAGTAACATTTGCACCACACAAATGCTAGACAATGATCATCTCCAATAAGATTCAATCTAACCACTGTCCCTTGACATTCAGTGGTGTTACCTTCACAGAATTTCCCATTATCTACATCCCGGGGTTATCATTGACCAGAAACTCATCTAAACATAGAACATAGAGCAGTACAGCACAGCACAGTACAGGCTCTTCGGCCCATGATGTTGTGCCGACCTATTATCCTACTAAGATCAATCTACCCTGCATACCCTACATTTTACTATCCTCCATGTGTCTATCCAAGAGTCGCTTAAAAGTCTCTAAAGACTCTACTACCACTTCCGGCAGCGCATTCCACATGCCCACCACTCTGTGTGAAGAACCTACCTCTGACATCTCCCCTCTGCCTTCCTCCAGTCACCTTAAAATTATGCCCCCTCATAATAGTCATTTCCGCCCTGGGAAAAAGTTTCTGACTATCCACTCTATCTATGTCTCTCATCATCTTGTAAACCTCTATCAAGTCACCTCTCATCCTTCTTCGCTCCAATGAAAAAAAAGCTCAGCTCCCTCAACCTTTCCTCATAAGACCTGCCCTCCAGTCCAGGCAGCATCCTGGTAAATCTCCTCTGCACCCTCTCTAAAGCTTCCACATCTTTCGTATAATGAGGTGACCGGAACCGAACACAATATTCCAAGTGTGGTCTAACCAGAGTTTTATAGAGCTGCAGCATAACCTCGCGGCTCTTAAACTCAATTCCCCTGCCAATGAAAGCCAATTCACCATACGTCTTCTTTGCAACCCTATCAACTTGGGTAGCAACTTTGAGGGATCTATGGACGTGGACCCCAAGATCCCTCTGTTCCTCCACACTGCTGAGAATCCAGCCATTAACCCTGTATTCTGCATTCAAATTCGAATTTGACCTTCCAAAAAATCTGGACACAACTTTCCCCATTTGCCTGAATAAGTGCAGCTTCAGGAATATTCAAACTTGTCACCATCCAGGATTGGCACCACATCCACAAATATCCACTCCCTCCACTACTGATGCTCAGTAGCAGCAGTGTGCACTATCTAGACGATGCACTGCGGCAATTCAGCAAAAGATCTTTACACAATCACTTCCAAACCCACAATCACTTCCAAACCCACAATCACTTCCATCTCGAACAGAAGGGCAGCAGATACATGGGAACACCACCGCCTGTGAGTTCCCCTCCCATCAACTTATCATGCAGACTTGGAAATATATTGCCGTTCCTTCAGTGTCGCTTGGTTAAAATCCTGGAATTCCCTCCCTAAGGGCATTGTGGGTCAACCTACAACACATGGACTCCAGTGGTTCAAGAATCCAGCTCACCGCCACTACCTCAAGTGCAGCTTGGGTAATAAATGCTGGCTGGCCAGCCAGTGGCACCTATGTTCCACAAGTGAATAATTTTTTCTCTTTAAATCCTGATGTTACAAAACATGGGCAGTCTCTTCATTTATTCTCAGTGATTTATTGCAATATTTTAAAAAATGATATTTCTTTCCTTGGGAATATAGATTTGTACTTGGAATTCCTCAAATGTATACAGTAATTGCAGTTGTACTGACTGAAAGATGTGACAGTTTTACGTTTTGAGTACATACAAAGTAATATTGTAGAGGCCCAAGCTAACCAGTGAAATATATGTTACAACTTCATAGCAGAGACTTGCTGCCAATTTCATCACTCATTCAGAGTTTCACTGAGTGCCTTTCCATTGTTGTTTATCTCCTTTCTCAGATGCCTCGAAAGACAAAATGACAAATAAAATCAATGATATGACGATGACAGATACTGGTATGGAACTACTACTCAGGAATGGACAAGCAAATGAGGACAGTGAAGAAGAGTGTGTCATATATCAATGACTCATTGTGTCTACTCTGTATGGAATCCCATGGTTCTGCTTCACATGACTCACATTTGCTATGCAAAGGTGTGCCTGTATTATGCTTTAAACCTTGTGTCTATGTATTCCAGTCCGTGATCGGAATTAGTTAGATTGGCACCTATTGCTTTAAGAATGGAGTCCTTCTGACCAAGTGTAAGGATTAAGATATCATCGAAGCATTGGATATGTTTCCATACTATTAGCAGGAGTTGTGAAATTTATCTATGACGGTTTGAACTGTGGTTCAAAAAAACACACTAACTGGCTCACAACTGGATATGGACCCTCCAAATACAGTTTGTTATTGGAGAAAATATTTTAAGCAACCCTGGAAGAAAATACTGTTGGTTACGCAATACTGGGAGCATTTTGAAGTGCTAAATCAAGGGTTCTGTGCAAGATGTTTGGGCAGCACTGAAAAGTATTGCCCCCAAATTATTTTTCTTCTGTAGTCTGTTGATACCAGTGTTCTCAATACATTTGGTAGCAATGCTGATTTTAATTGAAATGTACATACCTGCAGGAAAATAGCAAAAGCCACTGTGATTGATTTGTACAGAGAAGAAATTGTATTGCTATTAAAAAAAAAATCTGTTCTTAATTTTGTTTGTAGCCAAGAGTAAATGGAGTTGCCTTTTAAGACAACTTAAGTTTAATTTGATTTAAGCACATTTGATTGACCTTGTGACACCCTACGTTTTCATACGTAACATGCAACCTTTATGTGAAGAGAATGAACTGGAAATCCAGAGTATGTCCTGTTCAGAAATGTTTGGCAAAGAAGAAGCACTCCAAGGTGACCACTGTATCTTATGCGCTGTTTATTGTGGGACAATAAACATGATGCCCAGGTATGTTCCAACTGACTACAAACCAAAAGAAATAGTTATATGTGAAAATTTACAGTTAGTGTTTTAAAATGTAATTGAAATTGGTTTCCATGTTATATTTACCACTCTTTATTACCGTGTTTTGTAATTAAACACTGCAGTAAAGCTTTATCAATGGCACAAGTGAAAATGCAGGCTAGAACAGGGACTGCAGTCTTCTACTTGAATGTCCACTTTCTCAATTATGTGACCAGTTCTCCCTTACATTTTTCAACATGTGCCTTCTTGAAGTTCCATGCGACATGTTGAGTATCCTGTGCGTAAAAGTAATTAAATCTAAACTAGATTCTTCCAGGTTTGAGCCTCTGCTGTCTGGTTCTATAAGGCATTTATTCCCTCAAGAACCTTGAAAATCTCCCCATGCATTACTATACCAAAATTGAGGTTTCTCTATAGCCTGACCAGTATGTTCATGGTACCACAACTAACCTCGAATGTATGCATTTTAAATATTACCCCCTCAAACGCTGTCTGAAAAATCTACTCTTGCCCATTTCTGTGCCGCTGTTTCTTCCCATATAACGAATTCTGGCTGATTTCTACCCTGTCCCTCCAATAGAATTATAGAATGGTTACAACATAAGTGGCCAACTAGAACTATATCTATATATTTGAACAAGCTTGATTATTATCAAAATCATCCCTTATTGGAGGTTTGGGTGTAGGAAAATGAACAATTAATGCAGGGGGGGTACCTGAAGAATTGCTTTATATAATGAACTTCTTATTCTGAGTTATCTTTATCCTGTGGATGCAAGTTCTCTTAAGCTGATAACTTTTAATGAAAGGCTCCATCTAAATTGTTAGTCTTTCAGTCTTTCCCTTTCTTCTACCATTTTCTCCTTCTCTCCCTCCATCCATCTGTACCCTTCCTCTTTTTTTCTCCCCCGTCCCTTCCCCTTGTCTATCTCTTCCTCCATTTCCTACTCCCAGTCTTCCTCCATCACATACTCCCTTTGTGCTCTCTCACTTGCTGTCTGTCAGTCTCTTTCTCTCTTTCTGCTGCTTTCTGGTCATTGAGTCTGTATATTTAAGGGAATTAAACTTTTTTTAATAACTTAAACATTTTACTTACTAAATCATGAGTGATTTTAATAACATCATTTTTCACCTCAGTAATGGGAGTGTATTTATTTGCTAGATATGTTCTAGAGGCAGGGCAACGTGTGTTCTATATGGGAATGAGCAAGTCTGTAATGTAGACATTGCGTGTATTTTTCTCCTGTGGGGAAACATTGAGCCATCATCTGCTACCTCCCATTACACAAGTTTACATCCAACAGCTGCTGTTTATTTATTAAGTTGGTCTATCTTCATCCATACTGTAGAAGGTTGTTTTTGACGAGCATTCTGTATTATCACTGTGGTTCACATGTGGAACTTAATGAGGTGATGTATTTAAAATAACAGCAGTCAACTGTTTTGATTGATCAGTATGAGGATCAGGATGCCACTAGTGGATTGGTTTGGTGGGCAATGCTTGGTCTGGTGGAATTGGTTCAGTGTGGCAAAATGGCTGAGGTGGTGGGGGGAACCAGTTGAGTGATGGCCATGTCTCTGGGCTAATGATCCAGAGACCCAGGCTAATGATATGGGTCATGGATGTAAATCTCACTGTGGCAGCTTGTGGAATTTGAATTCAGGTAACAAACCCAGATTATAAAAGCTGACTTCAATGATGCCAACCATTGTTGATAGATGTAACGATTCCCTAGATTGAATAAAACATTTTTAAGATGAAAAATTAAAAATAATCACGAACATGAATTCTAAAGGTGAGGATGAGGTTTACACTGTTCAGATGCTTCTACATAGTCTGATTTCAAATAGGCATCATGTTGTAGTCTCAAGGAAAGTGTAGTTATAATGTCACGACATTATAATCCTAAACACCCATAGAAGAAAATTGGTCATTAGGGATTGTTTTCTTCTACAAATAAATGCTGAACATTATAACACACAGATTTCAAAGAATTGCAAATTGTTTATTCCCTGAGTAATATTGACCCCAACAGATCTTCAAACTTTTTATTTGACAGGAAACATTTCCCAATGAGATTTTCATATTCTATGACTGAAAAAAAGACATGACGTCAGTTATTTAACAAAAATTTGTCATATTTTGAGTTTTTACACATGGACAGTTTTGTGTAATTTTTCCAGAGGTTTTTTTCTATTGTAGGTCTTTATGAAAAAATAACTGAAAATTCCTATTTAAAGAATTACTGTTGCAAGAGAGATACTGTTTGGACCGAAGTGGTAATTGGTCTTTGCCAGGTTGAAATAATCAGCTGGCATTTGGTAGTAGAGAACTTTAAACATCGCTGAAAAGAGACTTTTTAAAAAAATTCATTTGTGGGTCGTAGGCATTGCTGGTTAGCCAGCATTTACTGCCCATTTCTAGCTGTCCTTGAAAAGGCAATTGTTGAGTTGCCTTCTTAAACCACTGCAGTCCACACGCTGCAGGTAGACCCACAATGTCCTGAGGGAGGGAATTCTAGGATTTTGACCCAGTGACAGTGAAAGAATGGCAATATAGTTTCAAAACAGGATGGTAAGTGGCTTGGAGGGGAATTTGCAGGTAATGGTGATCTTAGGTATCTGGTGCCTTTTGTCCTTCTAGATGGAAGTTATCATGGGTTTGGAAGATGCTGTCTTTGGTGCATTTCTGCAATGCATCCTAGTCTGCCCAACTCTACTTGAAACCTTCTTATTTCTTTCTCACAGCTTACATTCCCAGCTATTTTGTGGTCAGCACATTTGGAAATATTACAATTGGTCCCCATATCTAATCATTTGTATAAATGGTGAACAGTTGTGGCTCTAGCACTAATCCTTGTGGTAACCCATGAATATCAGCCTGGCAACCTGAACGTGACCTGTTTATTCTGATTTGTCTACTTTGTCTGATTACTAATTCTCCATCCATATTAGTACTATGTTTCTCCCAATCCCTCACTTGAATAGGGGGATTATGTTTGCTACTTTCCCATCTGCAGGAATATTTTCTGAATCTACAGAATTTTGAAAGATAAGCACAAATCCATCCACTACCCCTATAGACACCACCAACTCCTCTGGTCCAGGTGAGTTATCAACATTTAAACTAGTTAACTTTTTAAGAACTACTTTACTCATACTAATTATTCCAATTCCTCCGTTTCACAGGTTCTTGGTCACCAAGTATTTCTGGGATACTTGCTGCATCTCCCA